CGACGACCTGCTACGAAATCCACCTGGAAAACTGAGGCCTGGTTTCTGTGGCGTGAACATTAAAAGAGCTGATACACGGTAGCTCGCTAAGCTAACAGCCGTTAGCTAAATGCCGCGTCACAGTTGAGAAAGAACCTCGTGACGTCATGCTCAGGCGAAACTAAATCGAATCGCTGGTACCGCGCGACAATCGCCGTACAATAAATGGCGTTACAGGCAAAACACAAGCGAGTTTATGTGGGTTATTACCTTTAAAACGACAGCTTCTCGATCTTTCCGTTATCTCTCACTGTCACCCCAAAATGGCGTCTTGCGCAACCAGGGAGACACCGGCGTACGGCCACTTCCCACTCTCATACCGCGTCCAATCGTAGCACGCATGGTGTAACGGATAACCCGCCCAGATGACGCCGCGGTCCAATCAGCGTGTCGGCAGAGCCCTGTCCGCACAGTGTACAAAATGTCGAGGAAGTGAGCCGTAGACAAGTTTATTCAAGTTTCAGACACTGAGAACCGGGCCCTCATAGTTTTTCTGTTTTTCCCCTTTTTTAATCGACGAGAAATGACTACAGGGAAACAGAAATTGGCCACAAAAGAGACAAATAATGATAATAACGATTAAATGACATGAATAACCACAAAGACATGCAAAAAAGCATACAAGTCAAGCGGAAACGATCCATGAGATCCCCAACAAGTACATGGGGCCACGAATAAACATAAATAACCCTAAAAAGACACCAATAAATAAAAAAATCCACACATAAACACAAGGACTATAGGGAGTCAAAAAAACAAAACACAGAAACACAACATTAGAAAAATCAGTTTCTAGTTTATTGTTTTTCCTCTATGTTTGCTTGTGGTCATTTTGATTTACTTTTTGATCGTTTTTCATCTTTATGGATGTTTAATTTGCTTTTACTTTTAAGCACATTTTCTGAGTAAAACCTAGTGATCACTGGGGTCACCGAAGACCTCTCCAGCACTCTTTCCAATTGTGTGAGAGAGGTAGAGAGTTCTAACATTTATTTGTTTAGAGGCCTGTTTTTCCATGCCGGGACTCAAGATCCTGGCTGATCCCAACTTTTAGGCCTTACTGTCCATCTCGTTCTTCATAATCTGATTAAATGCATTTTTTTTGAAGACTTGAACCAGTGAAATCCTTCCTGTGGACTCTATTGAAGAGACATCCTGACATTTCTTTTTAGATCCTGACTTATTTTAATTGTGTTAATTCAAATTGCTGACACAGAAATGCTAGCATTTATCTATCATATGATTAGTCCAAGGCTGCAGGCTATCATGAATAAATTCATTGTCTGCAAGTCTCACAACCACTGTCTTTAATCATTTATGGTTTTACTTTTAGAATGGTAATTAATCACACTTGTCAGCAGTTAACAGCACCTGATGTCTGCAATTATTATTGGCTGTGTTTGCTATTGGAGGAATGTTTAAAGAAAACTCAGAAGCTTCACATTCCTCAAGCACCAAGCTGGAAATGTGAGGCCTTATTGTAGACTGTATATAAAAGATGGGTGTAGTCATCGTAATCACCCATTGGCTAGTGAAGCACTGGTGACTCAAGATGAGTGTTTTGTTTTTACTGTTGCCATCTTGGTATTTTGAAAAAAGTGGACACCACAGGCCAACGATTGCCATCTTATGATTAACAAGTCATGAGCCAAAGAGGAAACTTCATGTTGTTTTTCAGTATGACTTAAAATTAGCTGATTGTGCTCATAAGCACATAGCACAACCAGCTAAGACTTTACTGAGGGCACAGATCAAGGAAGGAAAAACTTCAGGAAGTGTGTTTGCATTCAAAGGAGTCGCCCCCTGCTGGTCATTAGAAAGAATGCATATTTAAGGCACTTCCACGTCAACTACACTTTCTGAAGCATATATCTTTTTACACTTTGTGGGCCTTACAGTAGCAATACATTAAAAAAAAGTCTAATAATAAATTATTGAGCCTCTTTTATTCGTAGTTTAAAGGGTTTGTAACATAACTAAAAAATGGGACTTTGTAGTGACCTTTACATCAGTGAGTCAGTTTGAATTTTCCGCAAAAAGTTTAAAGATGGCTGTGCTTGTTCATGTGAACCTTGTCTGAATACCACTCTTCTGTTCACAGCATTAACAGTGAGATCATCAGCTAACCTTAGGGTAGAAAGTCTGTTAATTAGCAATGTCAACAAACAGTTAACACCACACAAGGACAAAAAGCAAGCACTGGTCTGGGTTTATGGCACTTTTGCCATTGATGTCAATGAGAAGCAAGCCAAGGTTAGCCAGCTAGTTGCTATAGTCATAAAGAGTGTCGCATGTACAGTTACTTTCATTTAATAACATGAATCTCTCTTCAGTGGGAACCTCTAGCTGAACTATTTCAAATACAAATAATACAAAATTGTATATTTCATGCCCAGACAGAAACATTTTTATATTTGATATTTATCAAATACAGTTTATACTGTACAAAAACAATTTGTATAAGATCAATACCTATATTACAATTAATGAATGAACAGGATCAGGCTGAGGCGACCGTTTTCATACACCTTCCTGGTCACATGTAAGAGCCTCACGTGTTTAACAGCATCTGTTTTTATAGGGCTGGGCCTCGTTATCAGTGCTGTAAATGTTTACAGTGTGCAGCAGGTCTAATCCTGGTCTTTCTCAAATGACACCAAGTCAGAAACCACTGGGAAAGGCAATAGCTGGAAATGAGCAGAAGACAGCAACTTTTGTGCCTCTGAGTCATTTTTTATTAGAATATAAAATGTAAGACACATTCAAGTACCAAGAGATTCCAGCCTTGTTGTATAGTGTGGAAAACACACATCATTTTAAGGAGCTTCATGCCATTTAAACTCTAAACGAAACAGATGACATGACAAACTCTTTCTTCCACATCAGAAAGTAAACAGAGATACAGAGAACGGATTTTTTTTTGTTCCTAGTGATCCATAAAAGGAAAAAAAAAGCAGGAGAACGGAAAGAGGGAAACAATCTTAACACACAAAATAAAAAAATACAGATGTCACAACCTATTACAGCCCTACCAACACCATTTCTTATTCAAGCACGTTTACAACCTTGGAGTGTAAACTACTTGTATCCTTACTTAAAACACATAGAAACAGTTTAACCTGAAAATCAACATTTTTTTATTTGTACACTCAAGTAGCACTTTATTAGGAACACCTGCTTGTGATAGTAGTTATTCAGTTAGCCAATCACGTGGCACCAGTGCAGCAGAAACTCTGAAGCTTCATTTACAGTGCTGTGCTGAATGGTTGACCATAATGGGACCATAATGTTTGCTTTTATTCTCGTTCCTCTGCTTTGCTCTGCTAACACCAGTGAAAACAGAGATGATCCTGTCAGAGCTCAACGTTTAGATGTCAACAACACTTTGCTGAAATGAAGGAAAGAGGTGAGCATGACAAAACTAACAGTTATTAAAACGAGGTAAACAACATATCTCCACATATTAGCTGTTGTAGTCAAAGGAGCTTGCAAAGAAAAGCGTCTGGACTTCTTTAAGTTGCTTCAAG